TGTCATTTCTTTTGTTTTATGGTAGAATTTGTTACACGGTGGAGGGCGGTCGGCGATTAAGAACATCGATGAACGGATTTTAGCTGCCCCGCGAATCAATTCCAGCCTGGGAGAGAGAGATGGGATGTTAGGGTTTTTGAGAGGCTATTTTGCGTTTGTTGGGTCTCGTACCAAATTCATTCCCAATGTAAGTTTGTCCGACTTGAATTTTATCATCGCGAATCCAAAACTCCGGCGTTTCTTCTCAAGCGAAGCCCCGAAGAAGAAGAGTAAGGAGTTTTAATCCGTCTTCCGATAAAGCTATATTGTTTTCGCGATCATTTTTACGGCTGTGTAACGGCTCAACAATTTTTGTTTACCTGTGTGTTTTTTAGAGTAAAAGATGCCTTATTGCACAGCATTTTCGATCCTGGCGTGAATTCTAGGTTTAATGTGATTCTTTTTGCTACTTTTTGGCAGATTACCAGAACTTCTATCCCAAAGAGAAGAAAGAAATTCCTAAAGGAAATGAGCAAAAATCTGAGTCTAAAGGTAATTTTGTTCTTGCTTTTAGCTGTAATTAAGGCTATTTTTTGCATCCATTTCTATTGATTTTAGACTGGGAACATGGGTTTAACGAGATCCAATTATTGCTATTCAGAGGAGGAGGATTCAAAGTGGACCGCTTGGTATATTTCTGAGTATATTAATTTGAAGATTACTTAATTTTGAGATTCTGGTCGATTTTCTTGTTTGTTCATCTGCATTGGTATCTTTACGATGTTCTTGATCATAATCATGCGATATAGAACTTACTGATATAGGCTACCATTGGGGCAGATCTGAATGTGTCACTTATCTTTGTGTTATAAATGTTTCGTTCAGACATTTTACTTTTTGCTTCTTCTTCTTAGGCGACTCAAGTACGGATGATCAAGGGAGTTTTCAGGAATACTTCATAAAGCAGTTTCAGAATTTAGTCACCCCACTAGTAGTTCTTGGCCTTCTGTTTTCCTTCTTTTCTTCTGGTCCTCATGAACAACAACAGGTATTACTTATTGTGGACGATAATTTTCACAATTATCTCTTATCGATATAATTTTCGTACTGTTGTTTTGTCGGAAAGAAATCAAGCATGATCTAATCTTTCATATATCATTTTATAAGGTTTTTGAATGATTACATGTTTTAAGGCTTGGAAATGTTATTTATTTCTCTTTTTGTTCTCATGTTCCCCCCATTCAATTATTCGAAAGTAATGTACTCGGTAATCCCTTTCCCTTCCTTCCCTTGGGATGTTTTTGCCCATGTTTACCTTCAACACCTTGATTCGTCGTCCATTAAGTAATCGGTATTTTGTCTCTGCAGATAAGTTTCCAGGAGTTTAAAAACAAGTATCTGGAACCTGGTCTAGTAGACCATATCATTGTTTCTAATAAATCAGTTGCAAAAGTATTTGTGAGAAGTTCTCCTAGCAATGAAACAAGCGAAGTTGTCCATGATTCTTCAAGTGGTGCTGCCACTAAGGGAAATGGAGGCCAATATAAATGCTTCTTCAATATTGGAAGTATTGAGTCATTTGAGGAGAAGTTGGAGGAAGCTCAAGAGGCATTGAATATTGACCCACATGATTTTGTTCCAGTTACATACGTCTCCAAAATGGTTTGGTATCAAGAATTGCTCAGATTTGCCCCAACGCTCTTGATTTTGGGGTCCCTCTTTTATATGGGCCGCCGAATGCAAGGAGGAATAGGTGTTGGTGGTGGAGGTGGTGGTAAGGGCGGCCGAGGAATATTCAATATAGGAAAAGCTCATATCACTAAAGTGGATAAGAATGCTAAGAATAAGGTATAGACATTTGCGTTCTTCTCCAATATTTGTGGTATCCACATCGGTTCCCTCCTTGATATCCCTGTTGTGTTAATGCACACATTTTCCATTCTTTTCCTTTCCTTTTCAGATCCACTTCAACGATGTTGCTGGTTGTGATGAGGCGAAACAAGAAATCATGGAGTTCGTGCACTTCCTGAAGAATCCTAGAAAATATGAGGAGTTGGGGGCTAAAATTCCAAAGGGTGCACTTTTGGTTGGACCTCCTGGCACGGGAAAGACCTTACTGGCAAAAGCAACTGCTGGCGAATCAGGTGTGCCTTTCCTGTCTATATCTGGTTCTGATTTCTTGGAGATGTTTGTTGGTGTTGGACCATCAAGGGTTAGAAACTTGTTTCAAGAAGCCAGGCAGTGTGCTCCTAGTATAGTTTTTATCGATGAGATTGATGCAATTGGTCGAGCACGAGGACGTGGTGGTTTCTCGGGTTCTAATGATGAACGTGAAAGTACTCTAAATCAATTGTTGGTTGAGATGGATGGCTTTGGAACCACTTCCGGTGTTGTTGTACTTGCTGGAACTAATAGACCTGATATCTTAGACAAAGCTTTATTGAGACCTGGTCGATTTGATCGTCAAATAACAATTGACAAGCCCGATATTAATGGCCGTGAGCAAATTTTTCAGATCTACTTAAAAAAGATCAAAGTCTTCCATGAGCCATCATATTACTCACAAAGGCTGGCAGCGTTGACTCCTGGATTTGCTGGAGCAGACATTGCAAATGTCTGTAATGAAGCTGCCTTGATTGCTGCAAGGAGTGAAGGCACACAGGTCAAGATGGAAGATTTTGAAGCAGCTATTGATAGGGTAGTAGGTGGTTTGGAAAAGAAGAACAAGGTAAGTAATTGACATCACTCACTAGACAATTTTAGAAACTTCTTATCTGACATCTAAGTTAAACCTTGTTTACATTATAGAGAAAATATATCTGGTTTTCGAATAAGTATTCTTAACTAGCAATCTGGGTCGTCCATCTGCTATTAAGTTGCTGTAGAGGAAAACCCATAGGAGTATTATTATTAACTTGTTAAAATAGGAAATCCTGAAAGCTACATTTTATTCACTGTCAAATTATGAGTGGATGATATTAAGCTCTAGTATGTTCCCGGATAATGGAGTCGAACGAGTTTGACCCATGTGAATTTTGTCCGCTAACGTTCCTGTTTACTGAGCAGGTGATTAGCAAGTTGGAGCGCAGAACTGTTGCCTATCACGAATCTGGTCATGCTGTTGCTGGCTGGTTCTTGGAGCATGCTGAACCTTTGTTGAAAGTAACAATTGTTCCTCGTGGTACAGCAGCTTTGGGGTTTGCACAGTATGTTCCAAATGAAAATCTTCTCATGACCAAGGAACAACTTTTCGATATGACATGCATGACCCTTGGTGGCCGTGCTGCCGAACAGGTAATTACATATAGTCTTATGGTTTAAGTTTTCTGACAACTTTACTCAAATCCCTGACATAGTTCTAATGTATTAACTTGTTTGATAATGTGGCATATAAGTTGGTTTGAAAGTGTTTGGTTTTGTTCGAGTGACGTGAGAGAGCAAAAAGGGGTCGAATGGTGTTGAAAACTAACAACTTGGTTGGTTTTACTGCTTAATTGTCATTTGGATATAAAAAAGATATACGAAGGGATAGATCAGTAAAACCGAACGTCACCTTACGAACCTCATTTGTCATCTACAAATAATAACTTATCGAGTGGGATTCTGTTGCCCGTTGTTAATGGATGCAAGAATGTTGACTCGACCCCTTCAAGAAGTTTCGAAACTGGGTTCAAGATATAAATGGCGAACTTTGTGTATGTTTAAATTGTGGCTGCTTGGCTGTGTTGTTGAGGAAGGATATGTTGTTTGATGCAGGTTTTAATAGGTAAAATCTCCACTGGGGCTCAAAATGACTTGGAGAAAGTCACAAAGATGACCTATGCTCAAGTAGCAGTGTACGGTTTTAGTGATAAAGTGGGGCTACTTTCTTTCCCTCCAAGAGACGACGCTTACGAAATGTCGAAACCCTACAGTAGCAAGACTGCTGCACTAATCGACAGCGAAGTGCGAGAATGGGTCGGGAAGGCGTACAAGTGCACGGTCGAGCTGATAGAGGAACACAAAGAGCAAGTGGCTCAAATCGCAGAATTATTGCTTGAAAAGGAAGTTCTTCACCAAGAGGACTTGATTCGGGTCTTGGGTGAGCGGCCGTTTAAACCGAGCGAGGTAACAAACTACGATAGATTCAAGCAAGGTTTCGTAGATGCAGATGAGAAAAGTGTGGAAATCCCCTCAGTTCAAGCAGCTGAGGATGATGATGGTTCTACACCTTTAGAACCGCAAGTTGTACCCTCATAACTTTGGCCGGAGTAGTTTGTACATTAAGTTAATTTTTTTTTCCTTTTGTTCTTCATTTTTACAAATGGATAGATATAGCATTTTGTGATTTTTACTCGCAAAATATTTTAAAAGTTTATATTCAGTTGGATTGGTTGGTGCTTATTAGGGTAAATCATTTGACAATCTAATTATTTGAAAAATAATTAGACTGAAGTGGGTTTAAATCATTTATTTTTTTATTTAATAAATTTATACAATATACAATATTTTTATGATTAATGAATCCCGAGCCTGATCCTTTCGATCAAAGCACTTTCATGGTAAAACTGCTATCGAATTTACTCGACTGTAAACAAGGGACCCCGATTAATCATCCCAACGCTCATCTATTTTGTCTGGGTCCGTTCATATCAATAGGACTTGAAGATTCTAGAGTTTCGTACTAATTTTCAAAAATTTTAAATTTGTGTTTAATAAATTTAATAATTTTAAAAAGTGTTAAAAAAATTATTACCTTACAAATTAAAAGATTTATTAAATATTTATTTATTATTAGGACTAATTTAAACTCTTTTAAAGAATATATTTGATAAAGTTCTTATAATTTAACCGCTAAAATACAAATTTAAACCTTTCTTTCGGTATTAGACGGGCGCAATAATCGTAACGCAGCCCCACAGGTGGCGACTAGAAAACAAGCTATGGCATATCTGTAATTTAGTGTTGTTTCGAGGGTATATTAGGTAATTAACAAATTGAACATTGATTCTCAGAAAAACCCTTCTTCCCCGCCTTCAAGCGCAGATTACAGGAGGAGTTTCAAGGTTGCGCGCGCTCGCGAACGCGGAAGTGGAGGCGACATAGAAAATTGATTAGACATTGAAGTTCGTTGTTCGAGCTTTCCTTTTCTCTAATCGTTATGGCGAAGCGCGAGCTTTCCAATACATTAAGGAACTTGAAGGTAAACTAAGCTTCAGATTTTTTTTTTTTTTCCTTTCAGATTTACTGCCTTATCATGCTTCATTAGGGTTTCAACTTTCTGGTTATTGGTTAATTGGCCTAGGGAACTGCCAAATTATGTTCGAGATTACTTTATTTTGATTCTGTTCTTGCTTTGTGCTTATGAGGAACCGATTTAAATGTTATGCGAGTTATTGATTTTTTGTTTTGCCATTAGTTCATGCAAAGGGCGGGTCAGAGAGAGGAGCATCCTAAGAAAGAGGAAGAAGTAAAGACTGATGAGAATTTCTTTCCTTCGAGTACTATAATTAGAAAGTGGTAGGCTGTTGGTCTTTTCAATGGTTTGTTTGTTACTTTTGATTTATGGTTGTTTCACTACCTTTTCTAGTTGTTTATGATCTTTTCTTTTCTTTTCTTTTTTCGTTTTTCATGAGCTCAATGCAACAAACTGTACACAAATCTACCGCATTGTTCTTCGGGAGCAGTTTATTTCCTGAAAACGGACGATACATTTGAAATATTGATGGATTATGTGCTTTTGGTCGTTCCGTGTTTATCTTTATGATTATTGCTAGAGTTTTTCACTCTGAATGTGATAGATAGAAATATACATGCCTGCGATGGAAGTAATTCCATACGGTATAAATTTTATTCGTGCCTGTCTTGCTACAGAAAGTCTAGAATAGAATGAGAACCTTTTGTATCTGGTTCTAGTGTGACATCTTTACGTATCAAGCCAATCTCTGCTTTTGGCCGTGATAGTGGCTTTATGTCAACTTAGCTCTTTGACATCTTTTTTCAAGAAACTGATTTTTTTTTTCCATGGTGTAGTGTGGTTTTAGTTGAAGGAGATACTCATCCAGGCGATTTTAAAGGTCGAATGTCATTCCAAAGCTTTAATCCTTCAATTGATGTGAGTATATATTTTCAGTGTCCTAAAGTTTATCTGTGGACTATACCCCTTTGTGTTCTGCATGGCTTTTGTCTCACATCAAAGCTTTGCCATTATAGAGACTCAATGAAGATGTAGCTAGCTTAGACCAGCATGAAATTCCTGGCTCTTCACCTGGAAATCACTGTGGAAACCTTTCATCAAGGTTAGTGGTTATAATTTCACATCTGTTTTGCTCTTTCTTTTGGAAAATTATTGCTGCCTATAGGGTGTTTTATTTTATTAAACTACTTTTCTTGGTAAGCATCATTTTCTCCTAAATGAAGCTAGCTTTCTGTGTCCCACTGTCTTGTAACAACATAGTGGTCGCTACAAATTTAGTTGTAATTAGCATCTGCATTTAGTTTTGTGTTAGGAGTAAAGTTTGTGAGAATCCCTTTTTCTATTTTTTTTTAAAAGAAAATGAATGGCCGTGCCAACAAGTAAAATATGAATAACATTAACAAAATTGTTGCCTTAAATTTTGTAATGGAGCATTTTTTTTTTATAAAGAAAAATCAAACTTTTATTGAGAAAAAAATGTAATGGAGCTTTATGTTGTATATTTCTCTTTTTTCCCCCCTTGTTGGGGTGGGGGTGGGGGTTTGAAATAAAACATTCATTCCACAGAAAGTCACTTGAAAGTAGTGGTCATTCTTTTTTTTCCTTTTACCCTTTCATCTTCAGACAAAAATTTTTGTTCCCCAGAGATAATGGATCTTCACAAAATGAAGCCTCGTGCTCAAACAGTGATGAAAAAAATTGTGAGGCTAATGAGGATCTTAAAAGGAAACAATCTGTAGTAGTTTCTGATGGACGGCATCCAACTAAGTTTCCAAGAAGTGGTCGGGACAACCAGCAGTCATCATTTAGTCATGGTAAAGGACCTTCCAAAAAACCAAAGGGTGAAAAGCTGGACTGGAATGTTCTTAGGCCCTCCAAAACTCCCAATAAGAGTGGATAACCTTGTGTAGGAGATTCCTTAGATGGGTGGAGAATTCAGTTCCTATGCTCTTTATATTGATTTCTTACCATATTTTGTAGTTATATAGGACTGTTCAGAGTTCCGTGATCAATTTATTGGAAGCGTCATTTAATGTCTCTTATCTAAAACAAATTAGATGTTACACATGTACCACCTCATTCCAGTTCCTTAATTTTATACATTCCTGTACTCTGATCAAGAATGAAGCTCAATGCTTGGAATATTGTCTGTTTTTGTAAGAAACTAGATATCTGGAAGATTCTTTTGTATTGCAAATGGAAAATAGATTCTACAAACTTATTTTGTAGCATGCAATAAGAGTGGAGCTTTCATGGTAATGGTAATTTTACAGAGGGAGCAGAATTCATTTCACTTCCTTTTTAGGTTCCTGTGCTGAAGGATTTGAGGGCGTTTTAGTTCTCTGTTTCATCTATGTTTGGTTTACGTACCGTTGGTCTACGATCTGTTGATTTGGACTGTCAACTGTCATTAGATCCACCCAACCATCTAGGATATAATCAATGCTTTGATCCAAGTAAAACAAACAAAACTGGATAATCTTAATGTTTTCAGTGTGTTCAAATCTTAAATTTGAAACTTTAAAAGGCATAAATAAAGGTTGACATTTAATCAAGTATTTGTTTGGTATTTACAACTATTTGTATTCTCAGTTAAAAATTTCATAAATTAAGTTTCAATATTCAAATTTGTCACTAGACATATAAACCTTTTGTTGGGGTGAAAAAGTGATCCAAACAGACTGCTTGGATATTTCTACTCTTGCCTATTTTCAATGTTTAGTTTTGCCTTTTAGTTTGTGTAGATGGTACACTTAATTCTGGTGTAGGGTATGTCACAAGCACTTCTTCGTAGTTATGAAGCTGTGAAATGTTCTACAGAATAGAAACTACCGAAAGAAAAAAGAGAAGTTAATTCGGAGATGGTCCATATCCATAAAACATAAATGAAAATTTTCAAATTCGAGATGGTCTGTTATTCATCTCTGATTCTTTTATGGGTAATAGAATTCGAATTTAACAGCCATACCAAGAGTTTTAAGGAATAGACTCAAACTACTGATCAGCTACCGTCCTTATGTACAAAGAGAAACTGTTCTCCTGATCACATGTTTAATTCCCACAGTTCATGGTCATCATACTAGTACCTACTAAGGTTACAAGGTAATGCTTCGCACAGATCTAATAAGTGAAACAATCTGGCTTCATGGATGCACTACCTCAAACTTCCATGAGTAAAGAGAAATACACACAATAGGTTTGCCTCTGTCATTATCATCTGTGATAGAATTGAATACACCTCTCGATACTGCTTCAGGTCCCATTTTCTTGTCCCAAATTATAGCAAGCAATATGTTTATGCAGGCACCCAACAACAAGAAGCATAGACAATCCGGCCTTTCCATCCTTGAAGCATCCAGCCCTCATCTTCATCTAGTACAAAATCTTTGTGGTAATGGGATGTTAACTTGGTCCTAAACTTGCACATGATCTCCTTGTCCAAAGGAAGCTGCTTGAAACCTGCCCTCATACACCGAACCTGCCACTGCTTATAGGGCTCAGGCCTTTCAACCCTCTGAACTCCCTCACACGCTACTACGTTCATAATTTGGCGACCGAGAAATTCTCTCTCTAGCATCATCCTCTCTTCACTGTCTCGAGGTAAATTAACGTCTAAAGCATCATACAATGCAGAGAAGTGGAAGAGTGCTTCCCTGAATCGTGTTATGAAGAAGGGTGCATTGTAGGATCCATTAACCACAGAATGGACAAAGATGTTTGGATTCATCTTCCTTATTAAACGTAGAACAATATCCCTTGGACTACTTTCTTCGACAGTTTCATCAAGTAGGCTGTTAAACCTGTAGAAACAGTTCACAACTAGCACGTCATTGCTATCAAGCTTTAAGTCCTCGACTCGGATAGTTTCCCAGTTATTTGATGCTATGGCTTGATATTGAAAAGGAACTTTAAAGCGCTCACAGTATTTTGCCAAACGGCGACCTGACTCTTGAATCTTTTCTTCTGGACGAAATCCTGGTAGAGGATAATCAATACCAGTAATGCGTAGCTTGGGTGGACCATCAGGTAGTAGTGCAAGAAACTGAATTAACATTGGCCATAGGAAACCATAGCAAATGCCAAAATCAATAACATGCAGACTTTTAGCATTTTCAGCAACCTTCAAAATCATTTTTATCATGAAAAAGAGAGAGAGCTTCTTAAAAGGGCAGGATGAAAGATGAGCTTGGTAAGCTTTCAACATATCAGCCGCTGAAATATTGCTTTGAGCTAGTGAATCATAGTAAATCCTACTTCCTGTGCCAGTGCCAACCATCCGAGCCTCAAGAGCATTAGAAAAGAAATGAGCCATCCTTTGGGAACCATCCCCAGTCGTTGTAGAATGCTGTCTAATCTGCTTAAGTAGTTCATACGCAATCCTACGGTCATCAGAAGACACAGCTTGTGCACATAATATCAGAAGATTCCTCAAATCCACAGAGTTATTTCTCTTATCCTGTTTCTTTTCCCGAGCTTTCCCAGCATTAGATCCACCATGAACTTGTCGATTATTCTGCAATTTCTCACATCCACCATTTGCAGAGGCCTCACTTCCACAATCATGGAGTAGAACCTTATCGAACATGTCAGTTAATTCTTCCTCATCCCCATAAATGGTTGCATGCTTGTTTTTTCTCCCTTCTTCTGAATCCAAATCTACAGCTTCAGGTCCACGATTCTTCCTTCTCTTTGATCCATTAGGCGAATTGTCTGTTGTATCCGTTACCTTAGAAGCTACTCCTGTAAATTTGCCACTGCCAAGATCGATATTCAGCTGATTACCCACTGGAAGAAACTTTCTTGCCTCCTCCAACCCTTTCTGATATTGCAAGATGGATGTGCTATCACTAAAGATATTCTGAGCCAACAGCAACGTGACAAGCTCATGACTATTAATATTGAGGCTGCTTTGATACGAACTACTAGGAATAGATCTTGTTAGTATAGAAGACTTACTTTCTCCAGGATCAACAACCCATTGGGGGTCAGGCGAATTGCTGTTGGCAGCACTAACAGCAGTACTAGTACGATCACTGTCGCTTCCACGACAAACATCTTCAGAGCTCTCACAATCTAGGGGAGGTTGGTTAGGCGAAGGGGGAGGGTAGTTCTTACCAAGAGCATCATAGAAAGATTTCTCGGTATTTTCAAGACCCAAAGGATCATAAAACATGCAAGGCTTCTCCTCCAAATTCTCTTCCATCAGCATTTGGCTGATGTACTTAAGAACACTTTCCCTGAAGTCTAACTCGTCCGAGGAAGAGTCGCCATCAGGGCTTTGCCCTGAAGCCACCACACCCAAGTTCAAATTCACCGCCCCTGAAAACTTGTTAGGGTCTGGTTGGTAGGGGAAAAGGGAATTATCAACGAAAGGAACAAAATCTGGAGATGGGTCGTTGAATACAAAATCATTTAGTCTAAACCCATCATCGTATGATTGGGTTAGAGAGGTCTGATAATCAGCCATGCGATCTGTGAAAGCGTTGAGGTTTGGATCCATAGTTATCTACGCCTCCAAACAGAAACAAGGTCAACCAAGAGAATCAAAAGATTTTAGGTTTATAAAGTCACCTGAGCAAAGCGAAGGGAAGGTAAAGTGAAGAAGATTATGGGGTGGCGGTGGTGGTGGTGGTGGATGGAGTGAGATTTTAGGTTTATAAAGTGAAAAATGTCGCCTCTCTGGTGCGTTTCCTGGAAACGGCTGCGCCGAGAGTTGAGAGTGATTGACAGACGAAGCGGTAAGGCATTGGTCAAGATCGCTTCGTTAAACATTATTGTCTTTGCCCATCCGGAGATACTTCGATTGGATTTTGGCGCTTTTCTTCTCTGTCAGTGTCGTAGCGTGGCACAATTCCGTGCGGCCAACTCCTAGTCTCCTTTATCTTATTGGTTGCATTTATAAAACTGTCAAAACATTTTATTTTTGCTTTCAAACTTTAAAATTTTAATTATTTTTGCTCTTGGATTTTCATAATTTTTATTTTGGTATTGAGCTTTTAAAATGGAACCAGTTGGGGCTTTGCTGTAGTATTTTTTTTTTTTTTTTTTTTCTATAAAAAAAACTTTGCCTACTCGGTTTCATTTAACCTATGTGATTTTAGTGTATGCATATGTTAACAAGTTAGGTTATTAATTCAAAAACTAAAAGGGTTATTTTTTAAAAGTTTAGGGTTAAGTTCATTTTGTCATTTTGACTTTTTAGGGATCAAAATAGAATATCTTGAAAGCTTGGGGGCAAAAATGAGATTTAGCTAAATGTATAATCTTGGTAAGTTTTGCTTTTTGTTTGTTTGTTTGTTTTTTAAAATTTCATATCCTATCCTTAGTAATAAATAAAGGGGAAAAAAGTTGAAATCACTGTTGCACTCTTAGATTTTTAATTTAATCGTTGAGGTGCAAGATTAAGAGTGATTATGTCTATGGTTATATATTTGACCTTAATTTTTAATTAATGCTTGTAGCTCTTTGCTTTTGCCAACATTTTGCTGGTTTCGATTTTAATACCCACGTGAATTTATTCTTTTCCCTTTGAATTAGTAGATCAAGAATAAACCTCTAGTTTTTTTTTTTTTTTTTTTTTTTTTTTTTTTTTTTTTTTTTTTTTTTTNCCCCCCCCCCACTTTTACCTGCAACCATTCAACCTGACTGACTTGCATTAGTATAATGAAATTTGTCAAGATGCTACTTTATAAACTCGACCCAATTCTTGTCCATGTATATTTGAAAATTTTATCTTAATACATGTGGTGACAACAGAGAAATTTGGTAGAACTTTTGGGAGAAGAAAACTTTGTATGACACTCTCCCATACTATTCATGATCTAAAAACCATGCACCTAATTTAGTATGAAAATTAAAATCATGCCCTTAATAAATATGAACTAATGAACCTACATGTCTATTTAGGTACTTATACATTATCTACAAGTGACCCTTCAACCCCCTCCCTTGTATACATTATCTACAAGTGACCCTTCAACCCCCTCCCTTGAACTAATGAACCTTGCACATCCCCCATTTTTAGATAGAAAATTATAATACAATTTAATTTAGGTGGATTGAATTGGATATGGAAAATTTGGAAGAGAGTTAGAACTCATTCTATGTATTGATTTAATAATCATAACCAGCCATGGTAAGCGTAAAAGACAAATTAATGAAACCGGAGGATACCTAAATAATTGAATTGACAAGACAAAAAGGCAAAAAGAAGTGGGAGATCAACAAAAATTCAGCCTGAACTGAAATACATTGAATCCACCTATACTTGTGATACAGGAAAAAGGGTCATTTTCTAAATTTAAGTCAGAAGTGTGCGAGAGTTGGAAGACCATTCCAAATGTTGTCGGCTGCTTTTGATTTTGACCTTTCTTAATTGTTGTGTTGTTCCTATACGTGCTCCTCAAGAATTTTTCTTCTTCTATATTTTAAATGCTCTTATCATACGAAATTTATCTCCATATGTATCCTTGGGGCCTGAGACTTGAGGGCTAAATTACAAGTTTAATATATTTTTTAAATAAGGATGTTCGTTTTTTCCACCCCATCCGATCAGTGGGGGATCTGCTCCTGATAGGACAGAAAGTCCACGTTTAGGTGGAAAAGAGTAATTTTTCTCTTGACTGAACTATATTAGATTGTTTATTCTTTTGTTGTAATATTTAAATTTAATTTTTTTTTTTTGGTTAATGACTGGTTAAGAATTTTCTATACTTATAACGGAGAGTTTTAGGGGGCAAAGAATAAAATAAAGGTGGAAAACCATCCTTGTCCTCATCTCATAAACATCCCTATTTATGAACTTTCATATTTATTTATTCTACTTTTTTAATAAATTTTTAAACTTTTAATTTTATATAGATTAGGTCTCGGCATATTTAAGATTTTTAAATATTAGTTGATCCATTAGATGTAGCTTTAAATTTTATGTCAAAACTCTAAAATTTTAAAATTTCAATCGTGTATCTTATGAATTATAAAAAAAATATCAAATAAAATAAGAATCTATTCGACCGTTGACAATTAAGAATTTCTTGGGATGAAAAAAAAAAAAAAAAAAAAAAAACTATGGTCGTTTTCCTAGTTGATTGAGAACGAGGAGTCTGTCTTCCTTGGGTTGGAAATTATCCTGAATTTTTTGCTTTTTATGAATACTTTTCTAGGATTATGTTGAACAGGTACAATATTCTGTCATCTCATGCATTTTTAGGCTGGATTATTTTGACCTTCATATTTTGTTTTTTAGTTTTTTAAAAGCTAAAAGTGGGTGGAAAGACTATTAGCCGAGGATTGATCTATTGGGGCTTCACAAAAACATATTCATCATATCAATAAAAATAATAATAATAAAAAAAAGTGCCTAGTAGCTATTTATGTTCGTATCCCTTGAAGCTGATAAAGACTTCTTTTCAGATCACAATCCCAAAACAAAAGCTTTCTAAAGAGTGATGTAGAAAATACTTTACAAAGAGAAGGAAAAATCAGATTTCCTAAAGTATGTATATGTATGTATGTATTACATACATACATACATACATACATACATACATACATATATATATATATATATATATATATATATATATATATATATATGTCATTATACTACTCATAGAACATTAAGTTCTTTATAACATGCTATTTAGTCGATGAATAATACAGGTAATTGAAATTGAAAATTACTATTCATGATAATAATTAAAACTAATAATCTAAGAAGAAAAGGGAAGGAGGGTGGAACAGGAGGAAAGAGAGAAAAGGCAGTTGTTATTATGTTTAATTTAAAATATCAATGTCAATATTTAAAATAATATTAAAATATTACTCATGATCCTTCCAACCTATTATTAAAAATAGGAGAACTAAAAGAATGCATTTTGAAATCATAAGAACCAAAACACACTTATTGCTGAAAAACTCATAGGCTAAGGATATCTTTTCTATTGTCTTCTATATTTATTTGGTTTGAGAGTTAGAGAATTAGATATGTTTGTGAGAAATACTCGCGCACACTTTATTAAGATCAATTGAGAAAAGATTTTAAGACACATAAAAATACTATAGATAATCAATTTCTTAACATTTTTCCTAAACTATCTAAATTATTTTGAGAAAAGATTTTAAGACACATAAAAATACTATAGATAATCAATTTCTTAACATTTTTCCTAAACTATCTAAATTATTTTTCTAAATTTATTCATAAAATTCCTAAATCATTACTCAACTTTCATAACGCTTCTGCATTTATGGAGATTAGAGCAAAGTGCTTTTCACAGAAGCGAGGAGCGCCGCGCCAGTCAGGAAAGTGCCAAACTGAATGCCTTTTTTCAATTAAAATTATAATTTCACATTTATTTTGTTGAGAATAAATAGTTTTTTGGTTTGAAAATTTTTTAATATAGTTTTTCTTTATTCATGCCACATTTTTACAAATATATTTTGAGTTTAGTTTATAATTCTTAATTTTCAAGATGTTACTCTTCCTCTTCCTCTTGAGAGTTTTAAATTTGTTTCTGTTTGGTCCATAACTTTCCCTTTTGATCTTTGATGTTAATTTAATTCTTCTAAATTAATTAATAAAAAATTAACACAATGAAAGCAAATAAATTATGCTCAAGATGCTAACCTAACCACAAATGGATGATAATCACAAATGATTTAACTGTGGCACAACGAATAAGCTAGCAAGATAAAATAAATGCAACTTAACCAAACTATTTGACAAGACTCATGGGCAAATTACAAATTTAAGAACACATTATGGCACGATCATTCGTTTTCCTTTTTTTTTGAACATTAATGTGATGTACCAGAGACTTTGTACGATAAAAATCAAAAGTTCCGGCACAAATTAATGCTCAAAAGGCCAAATTTGACGTCAAATTGGAAATGTAAAATAAGAAAAATAAAAGAATACCGAGGATTCGGTCAAATAATTTACAGGAAGAGGCAGCCTCTGAATGCAGTTGAGACGACCCTAGTTTTGGGCTAGAATAAAACAAAGATAACGACTGTTTTTTTTTTTACCTAGTAATTATATATATATGTATATATTGTACAGATTTGCATTTTGAAAAAGACGTTGAGAGATTTACGGGGTGAAAAGGGGAAGACCTAAGGGCAAAAGAGAGAGGAAGATGCTCATATGGGTAACTTCCAAAAAGAATTTAATGCCTTTCGTCCAATCAGATTTTTTAATTTTAATTTTGTATTTATTAATTTGGTATAATATTAAACTTTTAATTTTAAAATTGTCTTTAAGAGCTAGGATAAGTTAGTCAAATCTTAGGGTTCATAAACCCTCAATAGATTTTAGAAACTTGCATTTATAGCTTCCACGTAAATGAGGAATTGCGCGGCAGCTACAAACTGGGCGTTTGCTAAAATATAAAATAAGGATATAGAAACAAGAACCAGTCCCAACGAAAAAGCAGAATAAATGGAGTTATTAAATAAGACCTGATCCCAACAAGACTACAAGAAAATCATGTATCAGTCCACGCAAATCCATTATATGTAGTAAAAAAAGAGATAAAAAAATCTAAATGTTTTTCATGACCTTATTGATCTGACCCCGAAAAAAAATGGATAATCAATTCCTAATTAAATCTTAAGGGGTGTGAATCTAAACTTGAGAGTTTCTAAAATCTCCCTACTTCACTTAAAAAAAAAAACAAAAAAAACAAAAAAAAAAAAAAAGCTTGATTTTCAAATTTGCAAAGACAAGCCCCAAACAACATCTAAAGCCACACGTTGAAGAAAAATATCAAGGTGCATCGTGGGTTGCACTCATTTTTGTGCAGCTCACCTAATTGTCCAACCAAACTCATTTTCTTTTCTTTTCTTTTTATATCTTTTAGTTTAAGACTGGTCCAGCCCAGGAAGCACTCAAGTATTGCTCCATAAAGAATTACACATGATGCAAAACAAGTTCTTTCCCGAAAGACTGATGTGATATCTTTTCAGATGCTACAAAATAAAGGGAGAACTATGTATTTGTATATGTACAACTAGGCTTATGCTCCCATCCTAATAAGGATAGTAAAACTTGACTTGCTATCATGAAAGACTCGGATACAACATGAGACAAATACTATACTTATCTAACACATACTGTAAAATGAACGTCTGTGGATGTGGAGCATTCTAATGAGTATGGTGTTATTGAAGAGTTTTTAAAAACTTCATCTCATATTTCAAATCGGTCTACCATCAATAATCGGACAAAACTAAAGTTAACTTGCATCCGAATTCACAGCAAACAACAAATTTCATCCAACAAAAACTGAGTAATGATGATTAATCATAACGAGAAATGTAAATGGTAGCGGATGCAACAGATTATATAGCCAAGAATAGAAGACTTACCTGCTTACTGAGTAATCATCGAGTGAATTTCCTTATAATTTAGTCTTCAACTTTCGAGTCACATCAATAATAAATGATGATTCTCAGCCTGGTCAACTCTCGCTCATTCTGGGTAGTGACTCACCTATGTTAAAAAGTTAAGACAAAATGGTTTAGCTCTGGCATTCACTGCCAAACTATAAGATGGAATAACAAATTGCATAAAGCAAATAATTGAAAATTTTCATAAATAAAAGGAACTGAGAATTAAAATGATTGTGCTCATGGATAGTTCTTGGAGGATTCTTCATGTGCTGTAAATTTTTTTTTAAAAAAAATGTCCACGAGAATGAGTATGCTGTCACGTTTTCAGACGGAAACCCTTAAGAGAAACCAACAAAAAAATGACGAAAAAGAATAGTCAACTGTTCTACAAAAAATGATAATCCACCATGATTAACCATTTCATAAGTCTTCCCAAGGAAATCATTTTTAAAAAATTCAAAGTTCAGTGGAGGACATGATGCTGATACTAACAAATAGCCCCGTCATGATGTACTCTTGAATTTCACAAACCTCTTGATGATTTTTGAAATCGTCGTCCTTGGTTAAAAACTAAGAGGAAGATTGGAAATTGATACAACATCTAAACCAATTTGTGCATCATTTTCCAAAAACTATCACGATCCATTTATTGCAAGAATGTAAGCTATATAAGAGAATGAAGCTGATAGTTGAAATGATTATCAGTGTACTTCCGAGGATGAAAACAAGTCAAATATTGCATCTCAAGTGAAACGGAGATGAGGTATACCATTCCTCTTACTTCCATCTTCCTCTTCTGCATCTCCTTTCCCTCCTTTCCTAACCATTCATAATGAACAGTCTGAAAGTATAAGGGAATGGGGACGCATGAACGATATCTTCGAATAATGGTACCAATATCTTTATGTACGATGAAGAACATTACATACTCCACAACAAATTGAAGTTAATGCTGAAAGGAGTGTAGAAGGCTACTATAACCGATGATAGTTCGATGACAAGATACTTAAATGCATTCTCACACAATTAACAACGAGACAGCCTACTGATAATTATGCCTCAATTAAATCTTCGAATCCTAACAAAACAAAAGTAAAAATACCTCAAGTAACGCTCGTAACGATCTCCGAAGAACGTTGTATACTTGTGGAAGTCAATTTCGAGTAAAGATCATCACATCTCCGTCATAGAAAAAAGACAGTGCTTAATACAATCCTGTCTATTTACTATAATCCTGTCTGTAATAGCCTTAATGCGTCGAACATTTGTTCATCGGTGCACTAAACACGGCTTTTGGATTATCCTCTGCGACTCGGATTTTCAATCCACAATGCTAGTCTGAATGATAAGTTTCAATGATTTCCAAATTCGTAAAGGACTAGGACTACGGCTCGAAGCGGATTTCTTACAACTCGAATCGTCAGCTCTGGTCAACATAACCATACGAGGCTTTAGAATGCAAAAACTTACATCGAAATGAACAGAAACTGGCGCGCAATGCAAACATTCGATAGCAAAACTAAGCGTGAGAGTTACCGTCGAAGAATCAGTGAAGGAGACGGAGAATGAATTCACGATCCTACGGCATTACAGGAGGAAGGAGACGGAGAATGAATTCACGATCCTACGGCATTACAGGAGGAAGGAGAAGGAGAATTTCACGATGCTTCGGCGGCAATAGAGGAAGAAGGCGCCATTCGATCAATGTATTTGGTTCGGCAAATTGGCATGAAAAGCCGAAGACTACATTTAAAAATTAAATAAATAAAATTATTGGGACCAATTTTGGGCTGGGCTTACCCAGTAAACCGTATTTTTTAGAAATGGGCCAGCCTGCATTGATATTTGGGCTATTTTGGTACACCTGATTAATGGGCCGACCCAGATTCAAGTGGCTACGTGCCGCTAACATTTAACTCCTGGTTGTGCATCTTCCACACGTGCTCCAAAGCCGAAGCTGAAAAAACCAGACGGGAGACGACACTTTCATGGTTTGCAGTGATTTTGCCGCAAATGAATTCTGCAAATTGAAGTTTCTTCTTCGTTGATCCAATGGTGTCTGCCTATTTTCTTCCCTGAAAACCCTAGGAGTTACTGAATACAGTGTTTCTGTTCCGACTGGAGCATTTTATCTTCTCTTTTTCAGGAATCTAGATCTAAGCTTACTGCAGATTCTTCGGTTTTTTCTGTTCTACTTTTATTATATTTCAATTTTTCCGACGAGTGATTCCTTGGATTATCCGGTATGAAAGAATCGAAACCGATTAAGCTCAATCTTCATCAGCATCAAGATCACCAAAATGGACACTTGGCTCCGTTCAAGCTCGCTAAATTGTTCGATCCAGAGGCCTCCTGGGACAAGGTACTTGAATTTTAGGTCTTGGATTCATGTGGAAATTTCTGTACATCTTTACTGTTGCTGCTTATGTTCTCTGTTGTATTTAGGAGGAATTAGGATTTAAGCGTTCCATTGTGGGGTTGAAATGTTGCAATTTAAGTAGAGTTTTTAATTAGTGAAATGTCACATTCATTAATTCTTGATTTAGAAAGTAAGGGAAAACTGTTACTGCGACTTTACATCTTCCAATTGGTGCTTCTATACGTGGAGTCCCACTATCACCTTCTATTTGGAGGCTTCAATTTTGATGCCTGTATTGAGTTTTCTTAAAGAACTAGATTGCTTCAATACTGTTCTTAGTTTCTGTTCATCAAATCTGTCAATAGGACCAACTAGGAGATGTTTTGCACTGGATTCGACAAGCAGTGGCCGTTGTTCTTGGACTTCTGTGGGGATCCATACCTTTGGTTGGAGGCATTTGGTTTCTAATGTGAGTGTTGCGTATTCCAACCTTCTGAATACACAATGACTATAAAATCATATATGCGTTGTTCTTTATGTAGCTTATTGTTAGCCTTATGATATCAACTAGCATTGTATATGGATACTATGCAAGCTATCTTACAGAGGCTTGTTTCCATTTTCAGTTTCCTGGCGATATCAACCAGCATTGTATATGGATACTATGCGATGATTTTAAAAGTTGATGAAGAAGAATTTGGAGGTCATGGAGCTCTTCTCCAAGAGGGCCTTTTCGCTTCTATAACTCTCTTTCTGGTACTTTGGCATCTTTGTGCTTTACTTTTGATTTATTGAGTAATGCAATGCACCTTAACCGAACTCTTCTTCGGGAAGGGATTCTTTTGCTGTCAAGATCAAATTCAACAAGTTCAGTCTATGATTTTGCTTACTTCTTTCTCTTCTTGTGTTTTCAGCTTGCTTGGATTCTCGTATACAGCTTGGCACACTTTTGATTGGCAACGAATGATTTTGCATCCATGAAATCACTTGGTGAAATTCGAACAATGAACTTAGTTATATTGATACCCTGCTCATTTACAATTGCTTCTAATTGCTGGCACAAATTTTTTTCACATCATGATGTTGAACAAATTGATTTAGCAGAGCAGGAAAACTCTAGCATCTGATATATGGTGATAGATTTTCGATTTCCTTTTCGCTTTTGACGCTCTTCCGAGGCCATATAGAAATGGGCTATGGATGTAATCCTTGTTAGAATTAACACCCTTTATTGCCATCTATTAATTACTAGGGAACGTTATAAATCACTAAACTATAGGGAACAAGAAAGAAGCTTCATTTCTTTACTTCCTCTCTTAGTATAGCTTTTCTCTGCTTTTTAGGAAAAGAGGGAAAGAAAGGCTGCTAACTGCCAGGAAGAGCATCGTGAATACTTCGTCGAGACTAGGGAGGTGGGAGATTCGAATCTTTAATAAGTTTTTATAACTAACTTTTGTTGGTTGAAATGTGCTTATAGAATAGAATCATTGTTGGGACTATGTTGTATGTGCAATGTTATTGGTGATGGTTCCTTTTTTATGTCTACAGTAGGTAAAATCCTCTTGTATTCCATCTGTAAGTAGTTTTCTTTATTAAAATCTTCTTTACGCCTATAGTTTTCTTGGTTGAATTCAAGTGAAAGGTTTAAGATATCTTAGTCAATTGGATCGTTTCCTCTTGATAATTTTTGTTCACGTACTATTTTTCGGAAAAGATTTCATGTCACTAGAAATGTTATCTCTTACTTATATCCACGTGTTTTTCTTTCTTTTTACTTTTCAGTCAAAGTGGAACTTTAGTCACTCTTCCAACTATCCTTCTCTCAAACGAACGACTCTCTTCAAATAGTCGTCCATTCGTTCACTCTTATCTTGGCCAAATCCTCCTTCGTAGTACACTATATGTTTGATAGAGTTTAACCGTTGAACTCCACATGATTAAGTCTAGCGTGCCTTTGATTCCAAATGTTTGACACCATGAATTCTTTACATATTTTATAATGGTATGGCTTTATCTATTTTAGTCATAAGCTTTCTTTCATACTTTTACTTTTTGTTTCTTCTAGAAGTCTTCGTAATAATGGAGAGGTAGCCTCTTCTATGCCTTCGATTTCTATAATTACCCCTTTGACCGTAAATGTACAATTCAACATTTGTACGACTCTCGAATCGAGACATTCTTTCTACTCATGGTTTAGACATTGAATAAAAGCTTTGATTGCATCAAAATAAAAGGGGGGAAGCAAAAGGCATGGGAAACAAGGAAAGATGTGTCCATTATGAACAAATGGTCCTTCCCCTCATCTTTGCTTTGTTTCCTTTAGTTCCCACTAGGCTGACAAAGCTGCCTCTTTCCTTTGCCCTAAATTGGCACAAAAGCTCTATGAATGTCTCTTGGTCTCTCTTCAACCTCCCAACAACAATTTCAGCCACTCTCTAGTAGACCACTAGGCACCATCATATCATATACATCCTTGCCCAAATTCATCATGTGGTCACACAACGCCCTCTAATTTCTAGCCTCAAAACTTCATTTTGTTCTTTTAATATATAGCCTTTAAATCTCATATATATATATATATGACATTTTTTATAAGGTGTGAAAATCTCTTTTTTGCAGACGCGTTTTAAAAATCAGGAGCCTAACGACGATATGTAATAGGTTAAAGCGTTCAATATCTACTAGCGGTGGACTTGGACTGTTACAAATGGTATCAGAGTCAAACACCAGCAATGTGTCAGCGAGTATGCTGGCCCTCAAGGGGGTGGATTGTGAGATCTCACATCGATTGGAGAGGGGAACGAAACATTCCGTGTGGAAACCTCTCCTTAACAATCGCGTTTTAAAAATCGTAAGACTGGTGACGATATGTAACGAGCTAAAACATACAATATCTGCTAACGGTGGACTTGAGTTGCAACAATTTATTTTTTCTCTTGATATATGCTTTGAGTTAATACTCATCTCAACAAACTTGTATACCACCAAGCTCGTGTGAACACAACATATAAATTTGAAGTCTGAGTTATTCATTTGTTAAGATCGAATTTTAGGTGACGAGATTGTATAAATTTAGATATATATTCTATATTTGTACGATCAAGCTACAAAAGAAAATAAAATTAATTTGAGAATGAAATATCTTGAATTAAATCAATTATAAATTGGACCTATTTTATTTATTTTGATAAAAGAAAATCAAGCCATAATTGACGCCACACCCTTTTCAACTCAAAGTAATCGTCTTCAACCACCATGTGGGTACATGGCTGTTGTCCAACTGAGAAACATTAATAATTTACGTAACTATTTAATGAAATATTAAAATCAATTAAAATTACTCATAAAAAAAATAAAATTATTTAAAAAGTCAACAAAAATACGCGGAACTAGTTTCCCAAATTCAAACCCGATTCGTCCAGAAATTAAACTGCAGTCAAGCCCCCCTTTTTTTTTTTTTTTTTTTTTTTTTTTTTACGTACGTTGTCAATTATGAATTTACTAAAAATAGTGGATGGTTAATTATTAATTTTTGACTAATTATTATTATTATTAAATAATAAAAAAATTAATAAAAATATCGATGAAGTTTATATTTCATCTAAAAATAACCTTAATTTTTAAAATGGTTTTACATGGAAACTGTGAGTATTTATTTAAAAAATATCAATTTTGAATAATATTTCAAAAATACCCTTAAATTTTAAAAATATAATTTTGAGTATTTACACGTTTTATTCTTTCAAAAAATATTTAAAATTCATAGGTTATTTCCAAACTTTTTCTTACCGTATTTTTATGAAAATAAATTACTCTTTTTTAATCACTTTAATGGATATTTTTGAAACCTATTTTTCATTTAAAATATAGTTTTGGGATTTTTTTAAAATTAAGTTATTATTACAAAATTTCAAAATTTATGGTACTTTTCAAACAAATGAAACCTTATTATTATTCTACTTTAAACTGTATTTTTGTCTTTAGTGATGATGATTGTTCCACGACTTATATGTTTATTTTGGTTAATTATATGGGTTTTTTTAATTAAAAAAATAAAAAAAAATATGATTAAAAATGTATAAAAGAAAATTATTAAAAGATTTTGACTTTATAAACCATTTTAAAAATTTAGATCGAGATGTTATGATTAGAGATCACATGGTTGTTGTGTGAATAGCAACTTCTAACTAGTGGCAATTGTCATTGACCCGTTCCCAGTTTGCTATATAAAATGATGATATTTCAAAAGTTATTAAATTTGAATTTATATATTTCTCTAATTACAAATTTTAATTTTTATAGAATTAAATGGAATTATTGGGCATGATAAAATTAAAAATTTATGGAATATTACAAAGCGAAAAGAAAAAATATATATATATATATTATTTTAAAAAACAATTTATAATTTATTCTTTAAATTTTCCACGTCGCAAAACTAGTCTAATTCAAGCGCTGACGTGGATTCTGACACATTCGATTGCATCAGCAGGTACGGAAAATCAACTGGATTTATCTTTTGTTTCCCGCCAGTGCGAACAACCGCCACGTGATAGAAACTGAAAACCCTCTTGGGAATCCTTCAACTGCGCTACCTCGTCGTGTATTTCACGCGCTTCCCGCCAAATCGTAAAAATTTGGAAAAGCGTTGACTTCTGGTCAAACTCAATAAACTAAGGAATTTTTTTAAGTAACGAAAATCGATGATTTAAAGTTTTAACCTAAAAAATTGCGTATATACATTTTTCAAATATTTAAATATTTTAATTAGGCAAGGTTTTTATCCGACAGAAGTGGCGCGTGGCTCGAGACGGCCCAGTGCCCTAGCCTAGTCCAACCCAACCGGTCAAACTTCAAACCTCCTGCCCACAAATATTAAAGGCAGCGTCGATTACGGTGCTCTGTGGGGCCCACTTTCATCCACGTCAGATTCTCGGTGGCTTCTAGTTGGTTGCCGCATTAACCAATACAGTTACAAAATCCGAATCTTGTGGGCCCCACCAATATGAAACCATTTTTCCCCCTTTTTCTTTTTGAATTTCTGATTGGTAGGGTACAGCTTTGGGATTAAAATTGAAATCCAATCACAGCCGCTTATCACGCCTCAACTTCCGTTCGACGCAAAGCTTATAGCATGCATACACAAATAATAATAATAATAATTAATTATTATTATTATAATCATTTTACTTTATTCATATTAAATTAAAATATTTTTCCCTTCGTCCGCCCTTTTCTGTACGAGCTTCTTCTCCCTTTTCCGACCAAGAATATTTACTTTAAAAAATTTCCAAATATTTTCCCATTAATTAAAAAAAAATCCAATAATTTATTATTATTTAGATTAAATCATTTGGAAAATTTATAATTTAATAAATTATATTTATTAAAATTTTAATTTATCCCATTTTTTAATTTCACTGTAGAGCTCATTCCCGTGTGCATAAGTACTCCACCATCCCTGACCTCCTCACATCATCGCCCATTTCTCTCTCTCTTTCAGCTTTTTCAGAAATGGCCATTAATATTCCTCTCTGTATTGCTTCTTTTCTCTCATTTTTTTTACTGGTCGAAGCCAGAATCCCCGGAATTTACTCCGGCGGCCCATGGCAGAGCGCTCACGCCACCTTCTACGGTGGCTCCGATGCTTCCGGCACAATGGGTATGTTTTAATTTACTCGTATTTGAAGTTGTATTCCATTTGTGTGCTGAACCGCAATTTTGCAGGCGGAGCTTGTGGGTATGGGAACTTGTACAGCCAAGGGTATGGTGTCAACACGGCGGCGCTGAGTACGGCTCTGTTTAATAAGGGTCAGAGCTGCGGCGCTTGCTTTGAAATTAAGTGTGCTAATGATCCACGGTGGTGCCATTCCGGCAGCCCGTCGATTTTGATTACTGCTACTAATTTCTGCCCGCCGAACTATGCTCTGCCCAACGACAATGGCGGCTGGTGTAACCCTCCTCGTACCCACTTCGACCTTGCCATGCCCATGTTCCTCAAAATCGCTGAGTACCGCGCCGGTATCGTCCCCGTCTCTTACCGCCGGTAAGTCTCGAGAATACGGAAGAGTATTTAAATCGCTAAGTTTTACCTTTTTACCCTCTGACGTTGAGGTAATTTACGCAGAGTGCCATGCCGGAAGCACGGAGGAATCAGGTTCACGATCAACGGCTTTCGTTACTTCAATCTGGTTCTAATCACCAACGTGGCAGGTGCAGGGGATATCGTGCGGGTTAGCGTTAAAGGTACAAGAACCGGGTGGATGAGCATGACCAGAAACTGGGGGCAAAATTGGCAATCCAATGCCGTTTTGGTGGGCCAAGCTCTGTCGTTTAGAGTAACCGGCAGTGACCGTCGAACCTCAACATCATGGAACATCGTTCCTTCCCATTGGCAGTTCGGCCAAACTTTCACGGGGAAAAACTTTCGTGTTTAACCGCAGTGAAAAAGAATGCTTTTTACTACATGGGTTATTTTTCTTCAAGTTTCCATTTATAACCTTTTGGGGAGTGTTTGTTTTGTCACAAGACTAATCTGATCTA